GTCCCGCAACCTCAGATGTGACCACAGAAACTACAGCACATAGGAAGAAGGATTCAAAGGTAGCTTTTAAGAGAGTCTGGGACAACTGAGAATCTGGTGAATTTTTGCTGTCTGTCCCACAGCTGTTCATACTACTGGCTTTGTAGATGAGCCAGCAGCAAAGAGCCCCAAGCAAGGACCATCTTAGTTCTGGGGTAGCACTCACAGGCATGCTGACTTTGACTCAGTTTCATTGGGATCTGGGCAAAAAGTAATGCTGAAGCTCTCTAGAGATGTCTGATTATCATCAGGACTTTTCCAATGGGACTGAAGCTGTTTGTGTTCTTGCTATCAAAGTGCTTTCCTAGAAGCCTTTCAGAGTTGTGGTCCCCACCTCCAGGGCTCCAGAGATGCCTTCTGAGGACCCTATATCATCAGCCATTACCATGAGAAACTTAAAAGCTAAACATGATGTTGAGAAAGACAACCCTGTATGATATTGGATATGGCACACTACCCTGCACAGTTTTTGCTAACACTAGAAACAGCTAACTTAAGAAAATAAGAAAGCAAAACGAACATTTTTTTTTTTTTTTACTAACTTCAGATATTATCAGTGGCATTTCATGCTCCCAAGCTAGGTCAGTGGACAGTTAATTTCTCAGTGCCACCTTCATTCTGAAAAGCTGAGCAGTAGTGAACACACAACCACTGTGAAGTAAATGCAGGATGTATTATATTATATCTTCCTCTTTTTTTTTTTTTTTTTTTGCTAGATATTTGCACATGAAAAAAAGTCCTCTTCTCAAACCAGTTAGATTCATTACTCTAAAATAAAATTGAGAGTTTGGAAGCAGAGGGAGAAAGCATCCTAAGAGAAAGTGGGAAGCGGCCAATAAAAGACATATGTAATCAAGGAAAGCAAGCTATAGTGCTAGGGGTTTCCTTGGAGTAGAAAATTTTTCAATAAGCAATGTAACAGAGCAGATTTATGATTTCACCATAAAGTTACATGATACCATTTAATGAATTAAACATTCACATACAGGTTCAGAGAAAATATTACTGTGACTGGGTGAGCATAAAAGTGTTGGGACATTCTTCACATTTATTACTCATGAAAAGCTAAAGAAAGAAAGCAATCACAATAGCAATGAAACATACTTTTCCACCCACATAGCATCTGATCAAATATTCACAGATGGAATTTATATAGGTTTGATGGTAGTTTTTTTAAGCTGCAGTTGTAAGCTAGGTTCCGCTAAAATACAAATATACACATATATCTTAGGTATTTATAAAAGTCCTATTACCATAATAATTGAGCATTTCTCTTTTAATGCATTTACCCTCACAACATCCTTGGAAGGGAGGATGGGCTACCATTCCCAATGATGAGATGGGAACTAACGCAGAGGGGCTACAGACAATAAAGTGTTTATTCTCCTTTCAGTTTGGATGTTGCAGTGCCTAGAAATTAGATATTTGGGCACATGAGAATGCTTAAGAGATGCAGACCTAGCCAGTTTCCTAAGCAGTCAGTAATAAAGGCTACATGTCCGCTTTGGACAGAGTACAGAGAACAATCTAAAAGTAGATGAAATTCCCTGGGATATTCATATTTCCCTGGAATTCAGGTTCTCTTGTCAAGGCTGCACAACAAAAACTTCTGCCAGTGTGATATGCAGAGCCTGAGTTCCTCTGTTAATTGAGCAGGGCATGTTCTTAAAAACACGAGCAGATTTTCAGGCCCTACCCTCCCAGCAGATGCCTCATTCAGGTGAGAAGTAGGAGTCCTGTACAAGCAACACTGCCAATTTTGGTATAAAGCATATTCACACATCCGCTGCCCTAGAGTACTCCATTGTGAAAGAGTACTGGGGGGAACCACTGCTGTGCAAACATATTCAGAATAAAGCAAGGAAAAAAGGATAACTCATAGAATCATAAAGCAGCTTGGGTTGGAAGGGACCTTAAAGATCATCTAGTTCAAAATGCCGTGCCACAGGCAGGGATGCCACCCACTAGAAGAACTGAGCTGGAAGGACTCTTTGAGGGCTCAGCACATTAGCTAGGACATTTCACCAAAAGGGGTGGGTCCTGCCATGCAGCAGAATGCAAGTAAAATACAGCTGATGAATATACAGGTATAGAAATAAGCTGATTTTTTTGACCACTTCAACATGGCCATTACATACCACAGTTCCTTAGGGTCCTAAATTCTGCCTAAGTAGCCTCTGAGATTTTTTGCCTTAAAACACTCTCCATAGGTGAATGAAGAAGGCTGTGGTGAGCTCCCAGGAGCAGCAACAGCCCCATTAAGCAGAACAGAAAAATCTCGAAGGTTACGATCACGCACCACTGCCTTCAGTTCCACACCATCACACCGGTGCCTTCCTCACGCAAGCACTCGGCTATGCAGGGAACAGCTCACTCCAGTGACCAAACTCAGCTCAATCTCGTACCTAAGTGTTTTCCACTCTGACGCTCAGCCTGAGCAGGTCCCTGATGAAATATATTTATAGAAGTTGCAAGATTGATATTTCTGAGGTTGCTGAGTGGGAGGCAATGTCAGCTTCCAAAGTCCTGCTCCTTGTTTGGACTTATGTCACTGACCTGAAAGCATCTCATTTAAACAAGAGTGATATGATAATTTTGCATAATGTAAACTATTCTTTAGAAGTATAATTCACCAAAGAAATGAGGCTGAAAGAAAGCCTCAGACCCAGAAAGCACCATTCAGTTGGGTTGACACAAAGATGAGATTCAATACAGATTCAGTGTGCTGGCACACGGCCAAAGGCCTCGTGCCTACAAATTTTGTTCCAAATACAGAAACCCATAATCTCACAGAGAAAAACAGCCCAAAGTATCCAAAAGTGGTAATTGGCTCAAAACACCATGGAAATAGGCCAGAGCTACATTTGCTTCAGATGTGGTGGGAAATCATTCAAACCTTAGCATCAGTGTTCTGGTCAGTTTGGAAATCTGGGTAAATCTGACACCACTACTGTGCTGAAAACATACAAAAGATTTTTTCCCACTCTTCTCCCATCCCTACCTCTAAAGGAAGAGTTTAGACTGCTCAGCCTCCAACTTTGACAAAGGATATATATGTTACCTAAATCCACTTTGACAGATAGAGATTAAAGTATATCTCTATAAATAAATAAGCTCCATCCAGTTCCCAGTTACCAAGTGGGAGAGGAAGTTATACAGCAAAATCTTCAAAACACACAGGCAGCTGGCTTGAGCACTGCATTCATTCCTCCCAAAACACACAAAGGCATCTTGTTCTGTCACTAACCGTCATGTTACAGAGGGATAAACACTTGCACACCAGGAGGAAGGACAACTTCAGTACTGTACATGCCATCAGCTGTCACTGAATTCAGCTATAGGTGACATTGGCCATATGCTCACCCCTGCAGATTTTATATGCTGCAGGAAACTGCTTCAGAAACTGCCTGGCCTTTTCTAGCATCATCAGTCCCTACAAAAGCTTGGATCTAGGGCTGTTGATTCATGGCAATTGGCAGGGTAAGCTCAGAGGGTTAGGGGAGGTACCTCCCTTGACTGCCCACTCTGCCTTATTCCTAGAGACTGCTGCACTGCAGTAAATACAGTCAAAAAGCACATGATACAATTCTCAAACTACCATCTCCAACCTGGATGGTTTTAACAGAGCAAGATGCAAATGGCTGTAGTCCAAAAGTTATTTCACATGCAATTCAACTTCCCTGCAAAGGAAAGAAGCAACCTCTGGGAGAGGGGAGGAAGGAAATATTGGGGATAGCAATTATATCTGCCATCTAAGGTTTAATCTTCCTGTCCTTGTGAATCAACATCCTTAGAAAAAAATCCATTTGGAACTTCAAACCATCCTACTAAAAAACATCCCATGTGTTATTTTTTTTTTTAAGCAGCATGGCTCAGTGCATTATTGGTGTCATCTTATTTTGTTATTCTAATTTTAAAAAGCATTTCATTTGAGTAAAGCAGAAAAACCTCAGGCTCTTTTTTTTTCAGTTCATTGTTTCTAGACTGAAGTTGAATATACAAAAATCAGTTCAGCTGGTTTTTGTCATTACTAGAAATAAAATAATGACTTAATGACTTACTATCACATGGCATTCAGATTACAAAAGCAGCACTACATAAAAACCAATGCAGCACATATTAAATGGATTAAAATTGAGCTAGATTTCGAATAGTGACTGTATGATGTGGTTACTGGAAATAACTGGGGATTAGACTCAGTGACCCAGGAGGTCTCTTCCAGAGTTGTACTCCTAAAAAGCAATTGTTAATAGGGAATCATCATCAAAGGGGGGGCATTTTCTGTGGGTCCTACAGAGATTTTCTTTGTCCAATGTTATTCAACATCTTTAGCCAGGATGGTAAAGTTTTCAGAGGATACAAACATTTGGAAAACTGTAAACAATAATGGGAATGGGTCAATTGTGCTCACAGCTTGGTAAACTGCTATTTTGAACGTCACTCTACAGCCAAATGCAGTATTCTTGCATCTACCACAAAGTCACTCTTAGAGCATATTCAGAAGTAGGCAGTCCCAAAAACCTGATATGCTGTCCTGTAAAATAGAAGATACAATACTCAGTTATACTGAGAGCATATTGTGCCAAAGCAAGATGTTATTATTACCTCTGCATATGGTGCTGGCGAGACCACTGCTGTAATAATATGTACAATCCAAGGAGGTAGCTGAAACACTGGAAAGGGATTAGAAAAAGGCTGCAGCAATGATTTGATGTCTGGAAAATCTGCCTTAAAACAAAAGACTTAAGAAACTCAACCCCTTAACTTCTCTAAGAAATAAAGAGGCAAAGGGATCACAGCCTGTACGTAGGGAATGGAAAATATTTCTGATAATAAAAAGTTCCTTGGTTTAGCAGGCAAAAGGCATGCAATGTCTGACCAGCTAGAATTTGAAATTAGGTTCAAATTAGATAACAGATACATTTTAAATATTGAGTTCAGATAATCATGGAACAACTTACCAAGGAAAGTGGTAGATGTGTAAATCTCAGGAAGTCTGAAAGGCCAGCTATCTTCCATAATGACATGGCATGGCTGAAGGAAATAATATTCATCTTGATATGGGAATGGACATGGCCTTTGCTGGAAAGAAAGCAGTATGGGAGATCAAAGCCCTGTTACTGACTTTAAAACCTGAGGACAAGCTGATCTGCCCACTTTCATGGACCATCACATGCAGTCACAAAGTAGTATTACAGGATTCTCTCTATCCAAAGAACATATATATTTTGACTTCAGTGAGCCATGTATTGGGACTTTATTCTTTCTAAATCTTTCCACTCCTTGAGTTGTTCTCATGTCTTCTTTTAATCCAGTGATTCCTTTTGCATTCCCATAAAGTTGTCATTTCCTTCAGCTGCTCAGACTGATGAAAGAGCCATACAGAAATAAAAGCTAAATGAGGTGAAAGTATACCCCATAAAACCCCCCATTAAGGAGTCTGTGGAGAAATTTCCTACTCCTTTGGCTCAGATAGCTATATTTTATTCCTTGTAGGAAACAGAAAACCCTTAATCCCATAAGAATGCAGCTAGAATCAAAGAGTAAGAGGAGGCATTAGGTTGCAAGAAGAGGAGGAGGGAAGAAAAGAAAGAAAGAAGAATTTCATGGTCAGCCCTTCAGCAGAGTTTGGATGAATGGGCTATCACTGCAGCTCCTGCAAGGAGCACAGACACAGAATGGAGAGGATAGGGGAGAAACATATGATAAAATGGAAATCTACACAAAGTCCATGGTCAGATAGCACTGGATTAACACAGTGTAATAGACCATTGAGTGCTTAATGAGACAAACACTGTTAGGAAAAAAAAAAAAAAAAAAAAGTCCATTAGGGGAAAAGAAGAACAGAGAGAAAAGAAATGTATGAAACGCTTGTGTTCAGTCATGACTAATTAAGAAATTGTGAGAAACAGTAGATTCGATAGTTTCTCATCCTTTAGATGAGAATACATTTTGATCTAAAAAAGATTCAGTTTCCCTTAGATGAGAAACTGATTCTTCTTTAGATCAAAATATATTCTGTCCCCTCCCAGCTCTCAGGTTATTTCTTCCCCTTGCTTGTTTGCTCTGTGTGTGTGTTTACCCATTATTATTACAGTTTGAGCAGTGATCAAACAAGACCAGCAATCATTTGGTATGACATCCCATTACAAAAAGCTGGTACTTTATGTAACGTGCATGGTAGAAACATCACATCTTTTTCTCAGGTTGCTCAAGCAGTTATATGTCTTTGTGGGCTATTTAATTTCTACTTTTGATCAACATATCTTATGTGCTTTGTTTTTTTGCTGTTCTACATCAATTCTTGTGATGCAAATATAATTCTTTCACTTGCACTTTCCTGGTATTCTCAAGTTAGTAAGAGAAAGAAGGATTAAACCCGTGCCTGTGTTTTAGTGAACCAATATTCCACTATATGATAGATGTAGCTTTTCTTAGACATATTAATACATTTCTGTGACAAATGCTGCCTGAATTTCTGGCACCTCCTGTTCAAGTTAACTCCAGTGCTACCCAGAAGACACTCAACATCACTCAGGGTTTGGGCTTGTATCATTTCAATTACTTTTTCCCCAAAAGGAGTCCTCATTATTTTTGCAATTTTTCTTGTCTTCATTGTTGTCAAATTGCTTCTAAGAGATGAACACATGGAATTCATTGAGCATACAACAAAACCCACATTCAATTAGATATTGACTGTCTTGAAGGATAACAGCAATAAAATGCGGCCAAGGGGAAAAACAGTTTACGGGTTATGATATAGTGACCCAAGCATTGTGGGCAGAGGGGAATTTTACATAATCAAAACAACAATGGGGTGAGCGTGGGGAATGGCATTGTCTCCTCCACGCCCTGTGATCACAGCACTGTTCCTGGAACCAGCCCTGCCGTTTGTGAGAAAGACTCCTTGAAAATCAAACCCACAAATTTTCAAACTGCCTTCAGCCACGTGGACAGCAGCCTCACCTGAACAGCTAGCCCAGCTAGCTGACTGCCATGAGCACAACGTGTTTTCTTACTCCATCCTCCACACCAGTCAGAAAACAGCAAGTCAAACTGCCATTCTTTGACTTCACACTCTTACAAAAAGATTGGTCCTCACAAAACTGTAAGGAACTTTTTTGCCCATGATATGGACTACCCCTGAGTAGATCACCTTGCCAGGATCTACAGATAACCATGACTTCCAGCACCGCCTTTAAGTCATCTGTCTTTGGCTGTTTATCCAGTCTAAACATTTTGTTTGCACTCCATCTAGGCAAAGGAGAGGGGTTAATTTTAAAGCAATTCATCCCGCCCAACAGAGTTGTTTCAGGGAGGTGCCTGTCTTACTCCTTTGATGACAGATGGGGACCGACTGTGCAGATGGCCATGGTAGGTGGACTGAATTACATCCCTACTTTCTGGCTTCAGAGGACAGTTTTCAATGGGTGTGGCAGTAAGCCTATTGAAATCCACTTTGTTGGCTTCAAACCAAAGCAAACATGAGCTAAGAGCATGAAGGAGGATGCTTATCCTCTATGAGACCACCAAGATCTGTATCATTCCCTGTCTCCTTTGGTTATTGAAGGAGTCTAAAGTTATTAGGCTTCTAAATGAGACACCTCATTTGAATGACTGAAATGAGTTGGGCTAAATCTCTCTTTCCTGACTGTCTCTGCAGTTATTTCCTTGCAGCACCCAGATCTGTCAGCTGTACAACTTCTGTAGGATAAATTCTGATCAAAGACCCAGTCCTTTGCCTGTTTTTGCAGAGATACATTCTCGCACCAGAAACTGCAATAACACCTGAGAATCGGGACTGTCACTAAACTCACATACCTTAAAACTCCACAAGTATTTTCTTCTTTATTTTCTTCCTCTAATTCATTTAATCTTTTCCTCCCCACTGACTCTTTCCAAGTGAACACATTATGAAGTCCGCCTGCCACACTCCTTCCCCCACTCTACTCTGCCACATCTATAGGAGTTTAAGTTAAAGGTTTCAGCCCTGTTGTGCTGTGGCCTGAACCACACAGCAATCTTAAGGAATGTTCTATGCAAAATGCTCCCTTTTCCTAGAATTCACTCCCACTTTCAGTATTTCTTTGCAGAGACTCTTCTGTGGGAAAATATAAATAATTTTCCTTTTCTCCCTCCTGTCTTAATTCCATGGTAGATAAAACCTACCAGTAATTCAGTTTTCCCCTTTCATACGTCAGATCTGTACCAACAAGAAAGCTTTATTCTGAAAGCAGCTGAGTATACCCCATATATATCTGCCCTCAATCATGGCTTGCTTTAGCAATTCAGGAATAGGATTATTCCATCCTGGGGACATCTTGATGCACTGTTTTGTCTCACTTTGGGATGAGAGCATGCTCTAATTGCAAGCATCAATGAGGTCCATCCAAACATATCTCTGCTTATAAGCTTGTGTGACCAGACCTGGTCTTTGGCAATTTTGCATACGTCCATTGGTACTCCAGCATTCAGTTCCAAGAGTAAGGACTCAAGTGGACCCTGTCATTTACTTGAGAAGAAATTGACACTTTGATATATTTTAAGACAGATTTTCAGGATGGGGATATATATTTCACCGACATTCTGACCTCACCTATCTCTCCACTGTGCAACCTAATGGATCCAAGTCACAAGTCTGAAACACCTTGAGGACACCTGAAGCAGGTGAGTGAAATCTATCCTCCTGCTTCAGATTCACCACTGGAATCTGCAATGCTTCCCCATCTAGTTTCCCAGAGGGAAGCTACAGTCCCTACATCATCCCAGTCCACAAACCTGGGACACTGCCAAGAAACTCTGCAGCCAAAGGAGGGGAATGCAGTCTCCTACCACAAGAAAAAGAGTGGCTAGTGCAGATGTTTCCTGTGTGCTCTTCTCTGCAAATCTGTGCTAACTAAGGATGCTCAACACAGTTTGCATCAAACAATTGATGTGAACTGTCACCCTCAATTCAAGCTACGTACTGGTTTGAAAAGCATGGGGAATTGCAGATGTAGATCAAATACCCTGGCATTGGAAACAGCTCTGTGTTACTCCAGTAATTTCTTTATTTTCTTAACTTGTTACTCCAGTAACTTCTTTCTCCAGTAACCGCTCTGTGTTACTCCAGAAACTTCTTTTACGAGGCTAAGGCCCAAATGCCTGCAGTGGGCTCCACAATTCAGGCTCTTCTTCTTTAAAATCAATCACAGAGGTTGGCATTGCTCACACTGTTTGCAGCACATATTCCCCCTGTATTCCAATTTCTCTTCAGCATGACTGCTCCTTTTGGTCAGACACTATTTCTATGAGTTCTTGTGACACCTGTAGCTTTACAAGCAACAATTTCTAAGCTGCTGTGACATTCTGCTGTTTGATGAGTTCAAACAACCTCTGTTCATTTATTCATAAGAATCTCGGTTTGAGGCTCCAAACACCTGCTTTTCACAAATGGTTACAGAAATACAATTGCTCACAAAAAAGCACATCAAGAAGTCAGGAAGGGTGCAGACTGATTTCTGTTTAGCAAATCAGTTGGCAACAGAACTTTTTTTTTCTTAGCTATCTGAATCAGGTGCTCTCACCTTTTCTATATCCAGGATCACATGCCATGGGACAAACTGACCTTGTCTGACACTATTAGTGAAGACATATTTTGAGCTGGTATTGCTGAGACCAACATACTTGTTGCCTTCTCCTGAGAGTCTGGACATTAAGAACAAAGGACAAATGTCCTAAAACACCTCAGCTAGATTCACTGAAGGATCATTTGTCGGTCTTTCCTTCCTCAGAACTCAATTTTCTGAAACATATGAAAATATTCCTGTTAAGATCAGCTGTCTCTGAACCAGATTTTTAGAAATGCTTCCATTTCTGTCTCATGTTATCACAATTTCTTACAGAGCACAAAGGATACTTAATCCAAATTCCAGTGCTGGCTGATTCTGGGGTACCTGAACTTCCCTACCTACCTTTTCATCCTTACAGACACTTTGTATCATGCATCAGGTTTCAGAGGGATATCCTTCACTATAACACGCTGTTCACTGCCACCCATATGCATGGACAATAGGTATAAAATTGTTCTGAAACGTAGAAAT